ACCAGAGCACTCACCACTGCAAGATCCTGCTATTTTTCACAAAAAATCTCAGATAGCACTGGCAATTCAAAACGATTATTTTCTGAAATAAACACTCTGGTCAAACCTCACACACACACACTGTCTGACACCAGTACGGACCATTGCAATAGGTTCATGGACTACTTCACCAACAAGGTAATGTCAATCCGGTCTGCCCTTCCTTCCACTATCTCATTTCCAACTGACATAATCTTTCCTAAGCCGCCCAACACCTTTACCTCCTTCTTGGATATCTCCCAGTCTGAAGTGGAGAGGATCATAAGCAGCATGAAGCCCTCCACCTGTCTGCTGGATCATCTCCCCACAACACTTCTCAAATCAAACTTTTCCGCCATTAGCCCATTAATAACAGAAATCATTAACCAGTCACTAAAATCCGGTCAGGTCCCCCCAGCTCTCAAAAATGCAGTAATCCGCCCCCACCTGAAAAAACCTTCACTTGACCCCAACATCCAAGCCCACTGGAGCTGCTGCTCCATCATCTTCAGCAGCAGCAGTGGATACAGCCGCAGCAGTGGCTGCTCCATCATCTTCAGCAGCAGCAGTGGCTGCTCCATCATCTTCACCAGCAGCAGTGGCTGCTCCATCATCTTCACCAGCAGCAGTGGATACAGCAGCAGCAGTGGCTGCTCCATCATCTTCAGCAGCAGCAGTGGCTGCTCCGTCATCTTCAGCAGCACCTTCCCCACCTACAGCTCCCGTGAAGCTTCCCCCATTACTCCAGGCTACAGTCAGGCCTGTACTGGGGGTTCCTCAACCACCTCTGTCTCCACCAAAGACTCCCTCATCACCTTCCATGGACCCGGCTTGGGTCCCCCCCGCTACATCCACTCCATCTAGGGAAAATGAGGACGACCTTTCCCTTTGTTTTCTATCCCCGCCTTCACTACTGGATTTACCGGAACACTCTGCAGGCATGATAAGATCGGCGATGAAGACTATTCCTCTCACACCCACTGTAGCCAGATCAAGAGTCCTATCTAACATTCAAAACTACTCCCCATACGTACCTCCAAAGCCACCTAGGGCGTCCAACTCAAATTCTCCCACAAAATCCACCCGTCCCTCCTCTAACCCCATAAGTATTCCACCCCCCCCTCCTGCTCATTTAGCCCACCTCCCCCCCCCTAACTCAGCACCAAGAAACCCTCCACCTCCACTCCCCCCTCGTCCACCACCCAACTCAGCCTGCCCCTCCCCTAACCCATCACCAAAAACCCATCCACCTCCCTGCCCCCCTCGTTCAACACCCAAAAGCCACCCACCTCTCCATCCTCCTCCCCCGCCTTCCCCTACCCCTCTTTTCTCTAAACACTAGGATGCACAGGGTCTCTGCTTCGCAGCCACTGGCAGTCTAGTTAGAGGAGAGACCCGGCTGGGGCCCTGTCATGAAGCCACCTGTGCCATTCCCTTAGTGATAACACAAAGAATACATTACAGAAAAACATCTGGAGTTAATCAGTCTAATCTGGAAAATCTAATTCTTGTTCCGTGTAAAAATCAGCCGACCGCAACCGCTGATACTGAAACTTTGAAACTTGCTACGCTTAATGTCAGATCTCTTTGTAACAAGTCTTTTTTAATCAATAATTTTATTTGTTCTCATAATCTTGATCTTATGTTCATGGCTGAAACTTGGCTTGACCAAAATTCAGAAAATGCAGTTTTAATAGAAGCATCACCACCAAATTTCAAGTTTGAATCTGAAATACAGGAAAACAAAAAAGGAGGAGGCTTAGCTGCCATTTTTAGAGACCACTTTGTCTCCCATAGAATGTCTCTTGGGAAGTTTGTCATTTGAATATGTGTCTTTTAAAATACAACAAAAACAATCTCCTCCAATACTCTTCGTTGTCCTACACAAGCCACCGCAGTCATGTCACAGTTTTATTGATCATTTTACCGAGTTGCTTTCAGTTGTATGCACAGATTTTGATAGTTTGGTTATTACAGGTGATTTTAATATTCATGTGGATAATGTTGATGACAGAAATGCAAATGAGCTGAGTTCTGTACTTGAATCCTTTGATCTCACTCAGCACGTAAGTGGCCCCACCCACAGCAGAGGGCACACTCTAGATCTGTTAGTTACAAAGGGGGTGATTATTTCAAATGTAAACGTGGTCGATGTTGCTCTTTCGGATCATTTCTGTGTTTTTTTTGACATGTGTTTCACTAACAAACCACCAGTGGACTCTGCAACTGTTCGAAGAAGGCGCATAAATGAAAATACGAGTGAACTATTTATGGAAATGATAAACTTTGAGAATGCATCGTATTCTACTGTAGATGAACTGTTTAACTTTGTCACCTCTAGTGTTTTGAATGTTCTGGATACCGTTGCCCCTGTGAAGGTTAAAATAGTGAAAAATAAGCAGAAGGCGCCGTGGGCTAAAGCAGACTCGGTCAGGGCACAAAAGAGAAAGTGCCGGAGGGCCGAGCGGAAGTGGCGCAAGTCCAACCTCCAGGTAGATTACGAGATCTTCAAAGATAAGTTGTGCGAGTTTAACCGGGTGCTACGTAGTACGAGAGAAAGGTATTTTTCTGAAATGATTGAAGGCTGCAGCAACAATCTGCGTGTTCTGTTCTCAACAGTTAATAGATTAACAAACCCCCCTGTTCAAATGCCATTAGAGCTTACTTCCAAACGTAAATGCAATGAGTTTGCTAATTTTTTCAATGACAAGGTTCAAGGCATCAAAAGCGCCATTGTCTCCAATCCACAGATAACCATCCAACAGCCAGAAAGGCTCTCTGAGCTAACTCACTTTGCACCTGTAAATGATAAAACTGTCCAAGAGATAATCTCCAGTTTGAGCTCCTCCACATGCAGCCTGGATGTACTACCCACTAGATTTCTGAAGTCTGTTCTGAGCAGTCTGTTACCTTCACTCACACAGATAGTAAACATGTCCCTTCATTCTGGAATATTCCCAAAGGCCCTGAAAACTGCAGTCATCAGGCCCCTGCTAAAAAAGAGCAGTCTGGATGCCACTGTACTTAACAACTATCGTCCCATCTCAAATCTGCCATTTATGGGGAAAGTCCTTGAGAAAGTTGTCTACCTACAGCTTACTAGATTTCTTATAATCAACAACTCATTTGATATGTTTCAGTCCGGCTTTAGACCCCACCACAGCACTGAGACTGCTCTCGTTAAGGTTACAAACGATATCCGGCTGAACACTGACGCAGGCAAAGTCTCAATCTTAATCTTGTTAGATCTAAGTGCTGCCTTTGACACCGTCGACCATGAGATCCTCTTACAGAGACTAGAGGACTGGGTTGGCGTCACTGGCACCGCCCTAAGTTGGTTTAGGTCTTACCTTGAAGACAGGAAGTACTTTATGGAGATTGGAAACTGTGTCTCAGATCATATGGCCCTGACCTGTGGAGTCCCACAGGGGTCGATCCTGGGACCTCTTCTGTTCAATCTCTACATGCTGCCGTTAGGTCAGTTAATACGCAGAAACAAAGTTTCCTATCATAACTATGCAGACGACACTCAGATCTATGTCTCACTGACTGCAGGAGAACATGGACCAGTGGACTCACTCCTTCACTGTATCCAACAGATCAGTGAGTGGATGCAAAACAACTTCCTTCAGCTAAACGCAGACAAAACTGAAATGATTGTCTTTGGTCCCCAGAAACAAAGAGAGAGCGTCATCTGTCACCTACAGTCTCTCTCCCTAAAACCTTCAAACAAGGTCAGAAATCTAGGGGTAATACTGGACTCAGACTTAAATTTTAATAGCCACATCAAATCAGTAACATCAGCAGCTTTTTACCATCTAAAAAACATTGCCAGGATCAAAAACATAGTGTCTAAAGCAGACTTGGAGATTCTTATCCATGCATTTGTCTCCAGTAGGTTAGACTACTGCAATGGCCTGCTCACAGGTCTGTCCAAACAGGCTGTAAAACAGCTGCAGTACATTCAAAATGCAGCAGCTCGAGTCCTGACAAGAACCAGGAAGTACGACCACATTAGTCCAGTCCTCAGGTCTCTGCACTGGCTTCCTGTGGCTCAGAGAATAGACTTTAAAACAGCTTTGCTTGTGTACAAGTCTCTCCATGGCCTCGCACCAAAATATATTAGTGACATGTTAGTCCCATATGAACCAGCCCGGACTCTGAGGAGCACAGGGACTGGACTCCTGTTAGTGCCCAGAGTCAGAACTAAACATGGGGAGGCTGCTTTTCAGATTCATGCTGCTAAAATCTGGAACAGTCTTCCTGAAGATGTGAGACAGGCCTCCTCTCTGACAATGTTTAAAACCAGGTTAAAGACGGTTCTGTTTAACTGTGCATACAACTGAGGGATTTTATATTTTTATCTTTCTTTTTAATGTTCTGTGATAATTTATGATTTTAATGCTTTCTTGTTTTGTTCAGCACTTTGAATTGCCTTGTGTATGAATTGTGCTATATAAATAAACTTGCCTTGCCTTGCCTTATGTAACACGTATGTGCATAAGAGTTACTGATTATATCGGTAATATAGTAACTTTCTTTGTAAAATGTAATATGACTGAGACTACTCAGAAAAATAAGTTCTCTCTGGGAGGAAATGATAGTGCGTATGAAATACTCAAGACAACTGGGATGCTAGCAAATTATTTGTGTTATTGATATTTTGAAGAAGGGGTATTTACAATATTTACAGGCTCAAGTGCACTTGAATATTTACAAAACAAAACAAAACAAAACCAAAAACAAGTAACCAATCGCTCTTTCCATCCACCGAGTTCACGCTCAGAGTCCGAGAGGGCCTCTTAGTCCCAAAAGGTAAACAGTTCTAGGATCCAGAAGAAAGGAAAATAGCTCCCCGGCCCAACCCTCGTAATGTAGGAGGTGGTGGGAGTGAGCGAGTGCCTACAGCGTGTCCTACCGCAGCAGACGTGAAGGCTGATCAAAACACACAGGTAACTGTAGGATGGCTGCTGGCAGTACTCTCACGGCAAGTCGCCAATGGCAATAAGCAGTCTCCTAAGCCTGGCCTGTGTACAAAATATGCATGCATAAATATTCCCTTATCTACCAGGTGAATACATTAAATAACCATGGGTTGTTCATGACAGTAAAAGTTCACTCATTTACGACATTAAACAGGTACCTTAACACAATTCATAGAGTGAGGCATACACTTATAGTTTAGCTGATTTAGCTTAATAAAAATCTCACATAGCAATAAATGCCAGCACTGGATAGCATTTTGCGCCAGTTAGCATTAGCATAACAATAACATTGCACTCACCGATTCCTTCTTCACACACACACATATACGCAGCAAAGACAACTTTGCGGTCACATGAATCTGTAAAAGGTTGGGAGGACAACGTTTTAGGAACTGATCTTTGATTTGGCAGAGGTAGCGAGTTAGAGGGGTAAATGTTTACCTGTAGCAGCTCTTAATGCAGCATCTCCCACACACCTAACCACAAATGCTAAGCAGCCGGCTATATTCAAAATGGCGGCGCGCAAATCTCAGACCCAAAGTCTCGCCCCAAGTCTCGCGAGACTTGACAAAACATTTCATTTCACAGGTAAAAACATGATTTTAAATGTAATGATATTTTAAATTACATGAACAATATCATTCTTAAAATATTTCTTAAAAAGTATATCAAAATATATCTGGGTTACACTTGCCTTACAGACCAGTCTCAAACCTCCCATTCCTCTCCAAAGTCCTCGAAAAAGCAGTAGCAGCCCAACTCCACAATCACTTACGCTCCCATAACCTATATGAGAAATTTCAATCTGGTTTCCGCTCAGCCCACAGTACAGAGACAGCCTTGGTCCGCGTCATGAATGACCTACTCATGATTGCGGACCGGGGCTCACCCTCTCTCCTCCTCCTCCTCGATCTGTCAGCAGCTTTTGATACCGTGGACCACACCATTCTCCTCCATAGACTACAATCAGTAATTGGACTTTCACAGACAACACTCAAATGGTTTCATTCATATCTCACTGACAGAACAGAATATGTGTCCCTAGGCCAGTACAAATCGTCACCCCATTCAGTTACCTGTGGGGTACCGCAAGGCTCAGTCCTCGGGCCAACCCTTTTTACAATATACATGCTCCCCCTTGGTCAAATCATCAACAGACACAACATTTCTTTCCACTGCTACGCCGATGATACACAGTTATACCTGAAAATGGACTCCACTTCACCCACAGGTTTTACGTCAGCCCTTCAGCTTTGTCTGGAGGAGATAAAGGCATGGATGGACAACAATTCTCTTCAACTTAACAGTGGTAAAACTGATGCAATCCTCTTTGGCACCCCCCACCAAACCCAGTCCTCCTCTCTCAGCAGTGTTTCAATTTTTGGCCATAACATCCCCCTGTCCACATCTGTTAATAACCTTGGAGTCAGGCTCGACTCTAATTTTACATTTGATACCCACATCCGCCACCTCTGTAAAGTCTCCTTCCTTCACCTCAAAAACATTGCCAGACTCCGCCCCTCCCTCTCACAACCGGACGCTGAGAAGCTGATCCATGCCTTTGTCTCCTCCAGGTTGGATTACTGCAATGCCCTCCTCGTCGGGACCTCTGCAAAGGGTCTGCAAAAACTCCAATACATCCAGAACTGTGCTGCCCGGGTCCTGACAAGGAGGCGCAAATATGACCACATCTCACCCGTCCTCAAATCACTCCACTGGCTGCCCATCAAACACAGAATACAGTACAAACTCTGCCTCCTCACATATCAATGCACACACGGAACTGCCCCTGCCTACCTCAGTGAACTCCTAACACCACACACCGCCTCTCGAAGTCTCCGTTCAACCACCTCCTCCCACTGCCTGCACCAACCCAGGACCAAACTCTCCACCATGGGAGATAGGGCCTTTCAGGTAGTAGCCCCCCGGCTCTGGAATGCCCTCCCAGAAACCCTCAGGGCCCCACAAAGTGTGGAGGCTTTTAAGAAAGGCCTAAAAACATTTCTATTCAAACAGGCCTTCTAGATTTGTACAGTAATTATGTTTTTATTTTTTCCTGATGTTATATTTGATGTATTGTTTTTTATGTTGTGTATCTTGGGGATGTTCCCTGTTTTTGTAGCACTCTGAGGTTTCCCTGAAATGTAAAGTGCATTATAAATAAAATGTATTATTATTATTATTATTATTATTTTGAATAGGTAAAGAGTCCTCACAATATCAGATTTTTTATTCTTATTTTTCCAAAAACAGAAGCAGAGTTCTTAAAGCCATCGTATTGTGTAACTTTAGCTTTTGACATACTTTGCTCGTTGACTTTTGTCTTCATAGTGTGAGACATACATAGAGCAGTAGATGATCCCGCTCCTCACCTTCACGCTGTTTAGTCTGAGTGCACCCTGCTCTTTCTGACTGATGCGACTGTTGTATCCAAGACTCAAACAGACGGGATCAGCAGAGGCCTGACGCATTCAGGTCAGAGCTAAATCCTGAGCACAGACTGACAGGGACCTTTAAAGACCACCTCTAGTTCGCCCAATATTCATTCTAAATCACCGTAAGAGACATATTGTTATTTTTAGCTTAATTGTGTTACAACTAGGGCCGGGACTTTAATGCATTAATTAAGATTAATTACCAGCACAAAAATTAGCACGTTAAAAATATTGACGCATTTTAATCGTGTGTGCTTTTGCACTGCGGAACATTGCTCACTGGAGGATGAGTTTCAGACGGGCCGATTGTACTGGAGCGCTACCTGTGACTTTTTTTTGTTCAAAAGTACATTATTAAAAAGCATAGAGCAACTTTAGCGGTGTCTAAATCCGTGTGAGTTAGAGACGGGAAGGGCGCTGTGTATGGAGCGATGGACTCTGTGTGTGAGGAGGAGGAGCAGCGACTCCTGTGAGCGGAGGAGGAGGAGCAGCGACTCCTGTGAGCGGAGGAGGAGCGAGACACAGGTGTGTTGCACACATCAAAAACGTATTATAAAAGTTTTAGCAAACAGCGCATGTCCTGCTTTAGTGCTCACTGCGAGTGCAGAGGATTTTGGTTATAAAAAGCGTTCGTTGTTGTCAGAGAGTGTGGAGGCGATGACAGAAACTTTATTGGATGGGAAAGAAGTCCGTCTGATCCCCTTGTCATCCACAATTAACATGTGTTGCTTAAAGTGGTTCTAACCCCCGCTCCTCGAGGCCTACGTCACTCACATTTCCTGTTCAAATCTCCCTCCAAATGGGCGTAGCCTGGAGGACTAAAGGGGACAGGCGGGGGGAGGTATATAAACTGGGCCGTTTATATACATAGTTCCCACATGACGTCACTACATACGGGGATTTGCCGACCCGGCGCCATTTGTCTTGGCATTCTGTGGGCCAAAAAATAGAAAAAGAAGCTGAAACGTGTGATAAAGTTGAAGATGGTCATCTCCTGCTGGGTCAATGGATGTTCAAATCGTGCCGGAGGTTCAGTTAAACTTGGATTTTACAGTATACCCATCATTAGACTTCATGAATGTGAGAAGACTAAGCTTTTGTCAGAACAACCACGGAGGTTATGACTCAGAGTGCATTCCTTCTCCAACACTATATGGTTTGTGCGGGAAACCCCATCTTCTGCTGAGAGAAGATACAACACAGGTCTGGAAAAAAATTACACACAAACGAAATCCTGGTCCGGACTAAAGAACCGATCCAGACCCACTTTTTTATGTGGTCTCCGGTCCGCTTCAAACGAATTCTGGTCCATGTCGAATCAGGTCTGAAATACATCCGGTGTCGATCCGACACAACTCCAGATACGTGCGCAAATTTTGGGCTTAACAAGCCGTAACAGAAACTGTGACGAATTTGCCACCAGCGGCTAACTCTGCTGGGCGAACGCTACTCAACAACCATTGAGCCCGTGGCAGACCTGGAGCAACGAGGAGACACTGGAGCAACAGGCTTGCTAACTGGAGTTAAAACTGTTCACAGTATACAGTGATGTTAAAGGCAGCATCTGTCAAATCATTGCCCATTATTAAAACCTGACACTGTTTGACTCACGTCTCAAAGAGCAATATTCCGTATCAGTAGTGCATTGTGTTCTTTGGTTTCCTACCTGATCCTGGGTTATTATAGATCCATAGTTTATCCCACAATGCGAACAGGGCCGTTATACATCATAGATCCCATGTGTGGGACAGGGCACGAGCGCACAGACAGTCTCCTTCGGCTTTCTCCTCACACATTCCCGACTCTGTTCCTATATAATAAAACAACATGTGTTTCGCCTGTGTCATATGACTGCTGCCTGTTGATGTTGAAGGTGGATTGCTTAAAAAAGAGCAAACATAGGCAGAGCAGACATGCTGCACATACGAGCCTCAATGTTTTCCTCCGGTTCCGCGTCTATGTCCTCCGTGAGCTCTCGCTGTCCAATAGGAGCGCCGATCGTCACATGTTCGATATTGTTTATAGAAAAAATTCACTTGCAAAAAGTACAGTCGGAATACGAACCGGAGCAAAAGAAAAGATGTTTGGTCCGCTTTTATTCGGATCAAGCAAGCGGAGCAAAGGACTTTTTCAGGTTTGAATACACCCTAATTACCCCTCGCTGTGTGAATGGGGAGGGGAGAGGCCGTAGGTCTTTCCTTCCTGCCTCTGTCAGACTGTACAATAAGAAACTGCTGAAGCCCCTGTAATTACCATTCACTGTAATCAGTAAATTCTTCAATCATCGTGCAATTGTGCAATACAGCTACTTCCAGGATGTCACAAAACAATGTCACTTACCCTCATGTCACTTTACTTATATACGTGTTAACCCTGGCACTATTTAACTGTAGAGTATAAACTCTGCACTACTACATATATATATTTTGACTGGTATATGAAGCATTTTCACATCTACAGCTAGTTATGTTTAGAAACATAGCTACTACTTATTTGTTTATATGTGTGTGATCCCTGTGTGCTCTTCCTACTGCTCTATTTCAATCTGGAGAGACGAGAGACAAAATGCATTTGAAAGTATTTTATTGAAGGTAGTTTTGGCGCCCTAGGCCCCGGTGGTGGCGTTCAGTCCCAGCGAGGCTCCTGCGAGAGTGCGCGCACAATCGCCCCCCCCCCCAAAAGGCTGTGTGTTTGATGGAGTTTTGCAGGCCTGGTTTTAGCAGGGGAAGTCCGTGCGAGCACCGCTATATAATAAAGGCAACACTATTTATAAAGGCTTCCGGCATATATAAAGGCACCACTATTTATAAAGGGCAACACTATTTATAAAGGCAACACTATTTATAAAGGGCACCCGATATATAGAAAGGGCAACACTATTTATAAATGGCAGCCGCCTATACTATAAAAGTCACCGCTATAATATAAAGGCACCGCTATATATAAAGGCCAACACTAAATTTATAAAAGGCACCGCTATATAAAAGGCACCGCTATTTATAAAGGCACCGCATATATAAAGGCAACACTAATTTTTCAAAGGCCAACACTATTTATAAAATGCTCAGCTGCTGCCGCCACCAGGGAGTTTGCAAGTGCTTTACCGGATGCCAATAGACCCTGGCTGGCCAGAATAGTCGAAAGTGTCAGGCCTGAGTAGGAGGAGAGGGCAGATGAATGACCAGCGACCCAACGGCTGAAGGGCAGAATAGGAAACCCAGGAAGCAGCGCGCGTAGCTGTGCCTATCCGGAAAGAGTGAGCTGTGTAAAATGAGGGGACAATTACAAAGCAGCAGTACAGACTTGAGTTGGGCTCTGAACCAGTTAGATGCTGGAGGCGAAGTGCGGCGCAGAGCTGGTGAGGATGGACAGTGTGATGGGGCGCCTGTGTTCCTAGGAATGCGGGGTGCAGTTGTGAATGCTTTAATGACGAGTTTGATTGATGGATCAAGAAGAGAGGAAAAGCGGGTTGTGACGCGGGCCTGGAATTGTAATCCCGGAGAGAAGAGGGGCGAATGTAAGAGATCTTGTAGTGGAGATTGTCCGCACGGTGAACTATGAAGGCACAGATTGTGCAAGCAGAGGCGGAATTAGGGAAGCAGTGTAGCGTAGCATAAGCATGAGTAACTTTCCAAGCAAAACTGTACATTTCCGCGTCGGAAGGTGAGAGGCCCCTTTTCATTAGGATGAAAGCGGAGGAAGGAGAAGGTGAAGAGACGAGGACTATCCAGGGCGAGAGGATTCCATGGAGGGGATCTGGCATGGCGTGATTTGCAGAGGGGCAGAGGCGCGAACTCCTGAATTTACAGCGAAGAGACAGGCAGCAATACGGTCAAGGTGACCGGGGACGGACGAGCAGTGATGAAGAAGCCATGTGATGCTTCTGAGGAAAGACATGACTGGGGGGAAGGACGAACGACCTCTTTTATTTATTTCTACCACCTCGGGATTGACACACATCACGGAATCTTTTTTCCTGTGCCCGTATGGCGCCACGCACCCCGCACGCAGGCTACGACACGGATAATATTTCATGAGTGCGGAGGAGATGCTTCGATGGGAACGAGTCGGCCAGGGCCCGCGAACCACGGTCCTGGAAAAACCCCCAAACACCACGGACGGGCTGCGTCCGTGAAGAAACGCATGGGCATCATGATGACAGGATGACGTCGCTGTAGAAAAAGATACACCGTTCCAGCGGCTCAGCGGACAGGACCAGAATGCCAGGTTGGAGCGGCACCCAGCGTTCAGGAGACAGCATCATTGAGGGAGGGGACTGAGGCCAGCGCGGAGAGGAGTCCTGGAAATAAAAGAACACCCTGAGGGATGAAGATAGCATCCTTGAGGGCCCGAGAGGGAGAGCAGCTGACGCTTCGAAAGAACGAGAGACAAGGCAGACCGGGAGAAGCGCGCATGGCCCACGCTTGTCCGGCGGGGGGGAGGCCACCACGGCGTCGCGTGATGAGGCGGGATGCCGAAACTCCAAAGCGGTGGCGGGGCCGGTGGTCTTCTCCTCGATGATGGTATCCGAGGGCAGAGAAAGGCGAGCTTTGACTTAAGGAGAGAGCCCCCAGAGCAGTCTGAGGGTGGGTTGACTACGATGGAATCATCGGGATATGCTGGACAGAGGGAGGCGCGCGCGTAATTACAAGCAAATCCGCCACGGCGCCTCCGAGAGATTGTTGAACAGAGAGGGACTACTCCGGCAGTCGAAGGTGGGGCGCACGGCGAAGAAAGAAACCTGACCCACTTGACCCCTGGAACAGGCGCCAGTGGTCGGGTGGATGGGCTGCACTCGAACGCGTCCGGGATGTCGGCCTTAGAGAGCCAGGAGCCTTGGCGAAAGTCTTATATCAGCCTGATCGCGTGGGCCCACGTAGCGGACTGCAGGAGAAGGCGCTGGAGGAAGGGGCTGTTGATGCTCGGGGCGGGCCCGGAGCGGTGACAGAGAGACGAATATGAGACGCTTCTCCCGGGAGTGCTTGGCGGATGGCGATGCCATCGGGTTAGAGCGAGGACGGTAGAGAAGGGGCCAA